CCCTTGAAACCTAATCCTGAACTTACACCCTGACCCTAACCATGAAACTTTAACCCTGACCCATAAAACCCTGAACGTAACTCCAACTTGCTGACCCTTAGATACTGAGAGTACATACCCCTACCTCGTGAACCCTATAGCGCTCTCTTGACACACTATTACTGCTGCACTAACCCTGAACTAACACCGAATTCCTGACTCTAATCCTGAACCTCACACTAATTCCTAAACCGACTTTAACCTAAGCCACTGCCCTAACCCTAACCTGACATGGGAATCACTGAAACCTAACACTCGCCCTTGATCCCTGAACCCCTTAACCCTGACCCCTTAACCTGAACTGTACCCTAATTCCTGAAACCTAACACTGTCACCTACTTCGCCACTAACGGCTTTGACCTGACCCTGAATCCTGAACTGTAACCCATATATCTGCTCTCTATCCCTAACTAATATCCCTGAACTTAACCATAATCGCTATCGTTAACATGTACCCTGTCCGAATACACTAAACATTAACATCTTTCCCTATCCCCAAATCACACTAATCCTCAACCATTTCCTTTCTAACTCTAACATTCTAAACTGCTAAGTGTAAGCCATTAGGACCTAGCACTTTTTGTCAATCCCTTCAGTGGCAATAGCACATTTATTGCCTTTTGAATGACACTGTTTCATACTGAGACTAACCATAACCACTAACTCTAACCGATAACCATATATCAGCCCTTCCAGCCTAGACCTCTTGGGTAACCTACCATCAACCCAAATTACTTAACCGCATAACACTGTACTCCTTAACCTAACCGGGCGATATTCCCAAATAATGACTAAGTTCCTTTGTATATGCCTGACACCGTAAACAACTATTATCCTAACCTAATAAATCCATTTAACCAGAGTGATCCTGTCTAGCTCCGAAAGTGAGACCAAGCTGTCGAAGATTCTTCCAGTGATTCAAAAGAGGGCCGCAAACAGCTTTCAAACGCAGGTTGGACGCATAGTTGATAACCAATCTCAGACCGGCAGAAGCAGGTACAGCAATTCTGTCGCAGGATATGTTGTAAAATATATACGCCTCAATTACAACAAAACAGGGTTTAGTCTTCTGTGCAAACTCGGGCGTGTCCACTCACCTAAAGAGCAAACACACCCTATCAGGAAAAAGAGAATCTTCATGTAGACATATCGATGGTGGTTGCAGGGATAGCACTCACAACTCGCAACGTGCTTATACCAACCGCATTGAGTATATTTTGCATTAGCTTAATTTCGTTTGATGTCAAAGGGGAAATAATACAAAGAAAAAAAGGCATAGTAACGAGAGGCGGGACTGCGTGGCTAAGGCCAGCAAGATGCAAAAATCGTTTGCTTAAGACCAGGTTTTTGTTGGTGAAGAAGCAACAGTAACTATAATGTTGTCTATTAAAGGTCCTACGGAGATCGTTGTTGTCTAATGCAACAAGGACAATAAAGTGATAAATTAAAACATAACTGGGCTGGGTTATGAAGATTTCAGCGGATTTATATCTGACCGGAGCTGTTGTTGGGGTCTCGGTGGGCGCTGTTTGTCAGTAAGTATGATGAATATATTATTGTGCAAGATCAACAGCGTATTGACTTTATATCAACTTGGTGATCTACGTGCTTTCATGTATAAGTGGAAACGAAGATATATACATGCTTATCAGGCAGGATTGATTTGATTTTATCTGCCTATCATATTATAAGGGAACCATGTATTGCTTATATAGGCCACTTATTGATTTCCAGAGGGGGTTCCTGATAGATACCAGCAGTGCGCCGGCCTGTTTTTCAACGTCTGACAGTATTTTGCGCGCGGCGGTATCGTTTGGCTGTCATTAACCAAGGATTAGTAGGCGAGCAAGAACTACTTATAGCCGATATGAATAAGCGCGACTAAATGAGGAAGGGATTAAAAAAAAAATTATTACCATCCGGCCGGCAATTCGAGGATTCAGCTGGTGGCGACGGGAGGGAACGGAAGAACCAAGTCAGCTTGGTGAATGAAGAGTTAGCATGAACGGAAATGTATGGTACGGTATCGCCAAAATTGGAGCAGTTAGGGTTATTTGTGGTGGGAACTGAAAGCTGGATAATGATCGTTAAGGTTGTTTTTTTGAATGGGACCTTAGATGGATTATTGTTCATGGGTCGTAGCGATTTTATAGCTGAGCAATGCTTGGGGTGGGGATGTTGGGGTGAGAGGTCAGTGTGAATGTCGGGACGGCGGACGTAGCGCTAAAACATGTGATCAAAAGTATTCGTGTTAGCATTGCTTTAAGGTAGTAGAAGATTAATGGGTGAGCGTTGAAAAGGAAGGAAATGCCTGTGGAATGGTTGTCAAAATTCGAGTGATAGACTTCGTACTCACGGATTCTAGTAAGACTTGAGGGACTTGAGGCCGATTGGGACGTAAATTCGGAGTTGGGCATAAATTGCTCTTAGTAGCTATGGCTGAGGCTGATAGAAGTGCCCAAATGAGCAGAGCTAGTTTTTACTCAGTGCGTCGTCCGGCCGGGGTTGGGTGGGGTGGGCGCGGACGGGGGGAGGGGGGGGGGGTGGACGCTGAGCGCACTTCACATACTGGGTTGAAAGTGTGGTGTGTGTGTGTGCGTGTGCGTGTGCGTGGTGCGTGTGCGATGTTGCGTGTGCGTTGCGTGGGGTGGTGACGAAGTGCGTGGCGTGTTGCGTGTGCAGTGCTGACGGTAGTGGATGTGACGCCCTGTGCTGTGCGTGGAAGGCCTAACATCTTGCAGGGGGGCCGCGGCGGCGGGGGCGGGCGCCGGGGCGGCGGCGGCGGGGCGCGGCGGCGGGGGGGGCGGGGGCCCCGCGGCGCGGGGCTCTCTACATCTTGCAGGCGACTGCGAGGTCCAAGCTTAGATCATAACGTGTTTCGGGGGTTTGCGTGATATGTGTATAAGAACCTAACCTTCCCTTATTTAAGGCACGCGATAGCTGCTGGAGAGGTTCACACAACAAGGGGTGAATAATGACACATTCGTTCAAGTCATCATTCACCCCTGGTACAAAGTTGGCAGTGATAATTGCAGGTGTTATTCCGTGCAGGTGTTTTTGTGCGTGACAAGTGTCCGTATATAGTGTGTGTTGTGCTTGTCTGTGAGGATGCTGCAGGTACCATCCTCGCCTTCATTGTGTACCTCGTCACTTATCGTCCGCAGCGTCAACACGTGCCTGCGCTGCCGCCTGCGGGCTAACACTAACAGCCTCCCCGGCTGTTTTTCTGTAATCGGAGAGAATCCCCTTGAAGTCGGTAGAGTAAGTAGGAATGGCAGGAATGGGAAGGAGCTCTCTTCCCTGGATCCGATGTGTCTGCTCGTAGACTTGCCGTAAGCTGGCGTTGCTCTGGCCACCCAGTTCTGGCACTGTCGTCGGGGGTTCGTAACTGGGGAAGTCCGGGAGTTTTTTAAATGACGTTTTACAGGGTCCTGGAAGATTGCGTTTGGGTTTAATCCCGTGGTTCTGGAAAATGGACCTTGAACGTCCTCGAGAATTTCTGGAAAAAATGTTTTTCCCCCCTGTGGTGTTCACACACCCTGTGTTATCTATTACATTCACACTCATCTAGCAACGTCTGTTTACGTCAGTTTTTCTTCTTGATGCCTTGTAATGAGGGCAGAATTTTTTTATATTAGCATAGAATTTACTGAATTCCTCCTGTTTGGTCGTTGGATTACGTTTTTCAGAACAGCCTGTCCGTGAAATTGGCGGCATTCCAATTAGGTTAGCGTCAAATGCTTGTAAACAAGGGTTATGCCATAGAACTGTGACAATAATACCAGAAATATGAGTAAATCTGTAACGTGCGTCCGTATGTGTGTGTATTCTATCATGTTTTACATTCTGCACATCTATAAAAGAACCCGTTGGTGAATCCGTTGAGCTTATGAGATCAATTTAGGTACAGATATAACAAAAAAATCCGGCTATGTACCAGCGAAATTGCAAGCTATGACGAGAGTGTGGGCCACACAGGAGCAGCGGAACTGCGGCGACGTTACACCCTGTCTCTCCCACACAAACGCAATCTGCTCTGTCCGTCACTCTGACTGGCAGCTGCTGACAGTTGGCATCGCAATGAAGTCTCAAATGCGCCTGCCTCCCTCGGCAAACTTTGTAGTCAATCGCACCCGCGCGGGTTGGAAGGCCGCCGAACTGGCCGCACTCCAGTACTAACATCGCGTCTAACCTAGTTTCACTTCTGCTGATCACTTTATTTCCTGTTTATGTTGCCGTTGCAGTGCTTTGCGGCAAGGCTAATGAAGCGAGGGGCATATGCCACGCAAAGCTAAACGCGCTTCCACGAGCAACGTGATTTGCGAATTTGTCAGTTATAAGGCACATGTGCGCATTATATTTCAATCCGTGCAAATGATTGTGAAGATAATGCAGCAATCGTGTCAACGATATAGCAATAATTTATTTATCGATTATAAGCAAGCCCCCCTACCGAGTAGCCTTTGATTATTTAATAGTGTACACTGAGAAAGATTTTTCTACGAAGCGTACACCACCTGGTTTGTTCCCAGTGTATGGATAGTATATTTGTCAGTACTTAGTGAATGGAAGGTCCAGAAATAGTACTGGTTTTATGTTTCGTTTGAAAATTTACACATTTTCATTGTATATTTTTAGTATATTTTGTATAGCCTTTTCACACGACACTCAATTTTTAATGGTTTTCATACCCTCATGCTGCCATTCTTCTATTGAAAAAAAAACTAAATAATAAAATTATTGAAAAATATTCCCATGAACATAGTATAAATATATAAATATATATAGTCTTAATTTAACATATATAATTTTCGTCGACGACCTTAAAATTTCGGAGTCTCGTAGTCATCGGTTATCAAAAATTGTTGTTTTACTGATGGCCTTTGCTGATGGAACTGCTGCACATGCCTCTCCAGTTTGGGAATCATGAGTGTAACGCATGTCATTGCGAATCGTTACAGGGCGTCGATGCGGCAGCTGCAGGAGAGAAGCCAACCATTGCACCGAAGCCGGGTGCTGGGGCTCCCTCTCCCCCACTCCCCCCGCCAGCATCTGGTGCACCTCCCCCTCCCCCGCCACCATCGAAACCTCTGTGGCAGGATTCACCGGCACCCGATGCTAGTGACAGCGCGAAGTCTGCCTTATTTGCCGACCTCAATAAGGGGCTGGGCATCACTGCAGGTTAGTTGTTAATTGATAGGGTATTCTTCAGATAGAGCAGCTTGAACCCATCATCAGTATCATCACTACTGGCAGTATTCTCATGATGTCAACATTGTCATTGAGTTCTCTGTCATCCACATTATCGTTATTATCCCCACTGTCAGCGTCATTGCCATTACTAGTATAATCGTTCAACATTAACACTGTTGCAGGGTTTGTATCGGTCTTGAGAAACATGGAAATTCAAAAATTTGTCTTTATAGGACTGGGAGGTCATTGAGCACATGTCAATTGTGTCCACATTTTACCAATGATATTAATAAGTTTAATATACAAAAGATATAGTGCTGTTTACTGTCTGAGGTGCAATAACACTTTCTTGAGGCAATATTTTGTTCGCTAATTGTTGGTCGGAACTCGGAAGGTACGCAGATTGTATTCCGGCATAAATCCCGGGGTCCTGGAAAATGGACCGTATATGTCCTTGAAAGGTCCTGGTAAAAATCATGCAAAAATGTTTTACCTTTGGCGTGCGAACCCTGTGTAATACTTGGGACTGACGACGTTCTATTACTTAGGGCTGAAGAAGGTGTCACCCGACATGCAGACACACAAGAACACGGAACTCAGGGCTGGTCCCACTCCATACAAGCCTGGTCCGACACCCTACAAGGCGGGGCGCAGCACGGAAGCAGCCAAGCCGGCCGTAGCTGCTCCTATCAAACCACCTGTCTTCGAACTAGAGGGCAAGAAGTGGATGATCGTAAGTCGCAGTAATGGACTGCACATAGGAGGAACAATGACGAATACAATATTATATAAAAAATGCAAATAAATAAAAAATTGCTATAACAAACAGGCTTCGTGATAATTCACCGCTTTGTAATTGTAATGGAAATTAACAGATCATTAGCTGGCACTTACAAAAGTAGGGGGTTACTATAAAGGCCATTTTTTTAATGAAATTGCTTAGTTATTACAATAACTTTTTATCACAAAAGTCGTTAATATATGCTGGATGTATAATCGCCCGAGCTCATTAATTCAGGTAGAACTGGAGAAGAACAGGGGGATAGGTTTCATTTAATCGTGCATTCGTTTAGGGGTGCACCGGAACTTGGTAGTTCCGGCCGGATCCCCAATTTTGCAAAGTTCTGGTTCCGGCCGGAACCCTTCAGGAACAGTCGGCCGGAACCGGAACTTTTTCCTAATTTCATTTCTGCTACAAGCGTCATTAAGATCAAAAGATCAGTCACTGAATGTAGTTGAGCGTCAAAAGAGTCAACTTGCTGACAATATAGTGTTAACAACTTCACACTATTCTGCCCAGAAAACGTTTGCCACTTGAACATCGGCTAACTAACTGAACTGAACCTAACTGATGTTTCTTTAAAATAAAATACTCTTAGAGCCACAGGAATGGCATCTGTTTGTTAGTTGAAAATAATCGACTAAAACCATGGATACTGCAACATGCAGGTTTTGCCACACAATTCGTTCGTGAATAAGATGCCAGAATTATGCACTGTAAGCAGATGATTCATACACCTAACAACCATCTTGTAGTTAGAACTTTGTAGCATTGAGAACAATGAAAACAATGTAAAATGTGAACATGTAGACAATGAGAACATGAGACATGATAACATGAGAACATGAGACATGATAACACGAGAACATGAGACATGATAACATGAGACATGAGAACATGTGACATAATGAGAACATGAGACATAATGAGAACATGTAGAACAATGAACATTGTCCTACTCGCCTGAGTGATGTGCCTGCTAATAATATTTTGTTCAGGCCGAGTGAGTTTGCGCAATACTGGGCCAATTAAAACTGTCAAGTTTAACTTTAAGCTTAAGGTCCGGTTCCGGCCAGGTGGTTCCGCCGGAACTTTTTTCAAGTTCTGGCTGGTTCTGGTTCCGGCCGGTTCTGGTTCCGGCCGGAACTTAAAAAGTTGGATCCGGTGCACCCCTACATTCGTTACACGAGTATGTCTACATGGGGCACAAGTTTACAACTGACTATCTGCACTCCTCCATCTTATTTCACTACACTGATTCATTCTGTTGTTGTCTTTGTACAGGAGAACCAGAAGGACAACAGCAACTTGGTGGTTGATAAGACAGAGTTGAAGCAAGTCGTGTATGTCTACAACTGTACTAATTGTACTGTTCAAGTCAAGGGCAAAGTTAACTCCATCACCCTTGGTAGGTGTGCGCGCATACGTGTATGTGCATGTGTGCATGCGCGTGCGTGTATGCATGTACGTGTGTGCGTGAGCGCGTGTACACGTGCGGGCGAGCGTGCATGCGTATACGTGTGTTGGTGATCACACAAGTTAGTGTTAGTTTAATCACATGTTTACATGCTCAGTCTCAGTATGAGCAACCCCTGCTTGATTATCCTAGCATTTTTCCTCTGAAATCATTTGGTATTGCTACCAGTGAAAGTAGTAGCTAAGGTTGAATTTAATACTGAAAAGTTGTAAACGTATTCTTCCAAGAAGTGCTTAAAAGGTTGTATATATGCATATGTATTTGATCAGCAAGTTTGTACTAAAGACAAGTACACCACCAATTTTCCGGGCCCCCTTGGTTCTAAAGCCTTGCTGTATTAACCATTTTGCCAGACCAACAATGGTCACAGAATAATAATTCAACAATATACCTCAGACCCTACTAATTATACATCTTCCGTATCTCTAAAGCTGGACTGCTAGAAACCTAAACTAAACCAATAAATTTTTTTTTAATCAACATTTTAAATCTCACGCTAAGGATCTTCCAAAATCGAGGTATCACCACCAACAAATGCAGTATAAACAATTCTAATGAGCACCCGCTACATGCAACGCCATCTGTGGCTGTACAGTGGTCTGGCTGTCACAGGAATTTCAAGTACCTTCTCAATATTTTGGCTGGACTAAAAGATGTTCCGGACCACCAGATGCCGGAAAGTTGGTTGTGTACCTATACTTTGTCCTGTGTGTATCTGCGTGTCTAGCCTCAAAATACAATTAGAAAAACACGTTGAACCATCTCTTGGGAAATTGTTTGGTCATGCAATAAAGCCAGTTATCACAAACTACAAAATAGTAAAAAGCAATCCTAATGGGTGGATGAGCAATGCATTTTTCTTTTGTGTGTTTCATCATAATGGGGATGCTGAATCAGTACTGATTTATCACAGAGCATGAATGATAAATGCATGCAACTATGCTAGGTGTAGAAGTTGACGGCAAGCAATATTTATATATGCAACACTATGATGATTATAATGTGATTTTTTATGTGACGCAGATAAGTGCAAAAAGGTGGGACTTGTGTTTGAGAACGCACTTTCATCCGCTGAAGTTGTAAACTGTCAGAGGACCCAGCTACAGGTACATACATGCAGCTATTGACTGCTTTCCAGTTCAGTTTATAATTATATATATATAAACAAGAGCTAATAATACCTAGAGTGTACAATGGAAAAACGGGAAAATAGTGCTATTTCACGACTACATTATTCTACTTTGCCTGCGAGTCTAGAATAATTTCATGGTATTGCATTAAGCAGAATTCCTTGCTCTCTACAACAAGACCAACCGCTTGTCAATACGATACTCCTAGGCGGATATATCGGCTCCTAAACCTCCCCTCCCACATGCCTTACGCCGCTTCGCATCCACTTTATTCAGCTACCTACACGCGTCTAAGCATTTTGGCTATCAGTTTCCGTCACCGCTTGGAGCGCTGATAATTGATGTCACATGCCCAAATTTGGTACTCTTACTACACCATATAGTAACTGAGCTGCGTTGTAAAAACTTGATGGAGCCGGCTCCATCATGACGACGGGCATTAGCCGTGCTAGGAAAGATAATGGAAGATAAGGGCATAGGCGATGCACCCGAAAGTCACCTATGATAACCGAAGTACCGTTCATTCATAAAGTTATCGCGGAAAAACCGAACTTTCACGAAGCAATGCTTAGACGCGTGTAGGTAGCTGAATAAAGTGGATGCGAAGCGGCGTAAGGCATGGGGGAGGGGAGGTTTAGGAGCCGATATCTCCGCCTAGGAGTATCGTATTGACAAGCGGTTGGTCTTGTTGTAGAGAGCAAAGAATTCTGCTTAATGCAATACCATGAAATTATTCTAGACTCGCAGGCAAAGTAGAATAATGTAGTCGTGAAATAGCACTATTTTCCCGTTTTTCCGTTGTACACTCTAGGTATTATTAGCTCTTGATATAAATATACACAAAATTAAACGGAACTAAGTAAAAGTAAATTTAACAGTCAGTTACACGTGTCATAAGCAGCCCTAATACATAGATGAACTTGATCAGTTCAGAATACCTGGCCCGGAGCACCTGACATGCGATAAAGTTCTTGGGAAATTCCTGTATAAATACATATACGTTGTATAGATATGTTCGTGCACCTACCTATGGTATGTACAGTCCCAAACAGCTACATTTGATGGTAGTGGGGTGATTGAACATGCAGGTAACAAGTGGTCTTAACTGCTTCACTGCAGTTGAGAAAGTTATATCTGAACTTTATTACTAGCCTTGACCAGGATATTGCTACACTCTAACACTACAGTTGATACAGTTTCCCTGAAACATAGCACTAGCAATTCTGTCATGCATCAGCCGTTCAACTGGCACAGGTATCTGTCATGGAGAAAGCTAGGCTGCACCTCAATGTCTGATATCGGTGTGCCAACCATGCTGTAGATGTGATTAGAAAAGACGAGCAGCATGAAACGGTTTTCTTTCTAGCGATGACTTTGACACGCTCTTGCTAGTAAGGTGTGTAACGTTACAGGTGACAGGAAAGGTGCCAACTATCGTCATCGATAAGACGGACGGCGTGCAGATCTATCTTAGCAAAGAATCGATGGACGTTGAAATTGTTTCTGCCAAGTCTTCTGAGATGAACATCAGCATTCCCCAAGACGACGGAGAATACGTAAGAAAAATACCGTGTGCTTCACCGCGCTTGCTACAATCGGGATTGGGGTTTTCATGAAATCATTTCTTTGAAATTGTAATTCTTGAACTTGGATGCTTCGTTTTGTGCTTTCAGAATGAGTATGCAATCCCAGAACAGTACAAAACTATATGGAATGGTAAGCAACTGGTGACAGGTACGGCTGAACAGACTGGGTAGAGGTCATGTCAATCACATCAAGGCCGTTTTCAACATGAACGAAGCTTTATTGAGGCTATGTTTGAATTGGGTAACTGAAACCTGCTTATCACAAGCTGCCTTGGCAAGGATATGAGCATAATTTTCGTTAATGAATATATCAAGCAATTGAAATTTTACGCAATGAAGACCGGAATTTACATCATGTGATTTTTCATGCTTTATAATGGGCAGTTATAATGTAATGTGATTATATTCACCTACGACAAAGGATAACTGAACCGTCAAACGTAACTGAAATGTTTGGCAGTGGATATAATTTAGAATTATCGTGTGTTTAGCCGTGATATGTTAAAGAATGAGGTCAGAGAAGGTTGGAAACATGACTTGAGTTTGTAAAGCAGAAAACAGCTTCCATTGCATACATGTTTTCATAGAATTGGCATTCTCTGGCTGGTTGTTGGAAAGAGAAATATACCTTACCTAGGAGTATTAATTGTAGTATATTCAAATAAACGGGAGAAAATTCAGGCACGATATTGATTTTGCTGAATGCAGGTATTGGTATGTGTATTTGTCCGCATGTAATACTGGGGAGCCGTGATGATCTTGTGTCAAGCTTTCATGTTTCCGCGTAAATTTCAAAATATTTATTGTCCTTTTGTGTCCTGGGATCTGTGGCTGCGGGGGTGTGCCAGTATTAATTCATTTTCTTTAAGGGTAGCAATGCACAGCAACCAGAAATGAGCATATCTTTGCAGAGCGTTTACTGCTTGTCTAGCAGAAAAAAATGAATCCGGGGCCAAACCATGATCTCGGTTATTGTGTCCGGTATAAGCAACAGTGTGTGAAAACTGTGACGCATTTCTGGATGTCACTGGCTCAACGTGATGTATTGTGTAGTTCAATTACGTATCACGACCTATTGTGAGGGCGCATTTTGTAGGAATATTGTGAGGTATGTACAGAGGATTTTTCGAATGTCAGTGTTAGGAAAGAGTGTTGTTATAAAAGGCAAATGGGAAAATCCGCAGACAAACAGACTGGCGCAATAACGTTATGTTGGCACAAGGTCGTCAAATACCAACCAGTTCCCTTGATAGATGTCATACCTTTTAGGTGACAAATAATAAATACGTAACTTCAAATGATAACACGTCCAATTGTTGTTTTAATTGTAGAGTTATTTAATGTTAACCTGTGGTACATGCATTAACAGAGGCAGCATTTACAACTTTACATATCACGTAGCACTTCTCTTCTCGATGTTGCTTTCTTCATTCACTCACAGTATACATCAGTGATGTGTCGATTGACGCCTTCCCATCTTTTACACGTTCCCAAATAATATAAATATATACGCAGTATACACATTTATGTTTACGCTTGTACGAACGCACGCATGTACGAATGTACGGTTGCACGAACTTACATAGGTACGAACGGATCCGCATGCACGCACACGACATTTACGATAATAGTGTAAAAGCGATTAGTAAGGTTTCATCTTCAAGTGCAGCACGTTCACTCGGTACAGATTGTATGAAAACGTGCAGAAAATTATAGCAGATTAAATGTAGTAATGTACACATTTAGCCGTGCCACAACGGTAATGTTATATACATCACAGCAAGTATCAGTGTTGGATCAGATCAGATTTCGAACTAGAATCAATACAGAGAGAATAGTAAACGCCACACATGGTTGCCACCAACATGTTTGTGGAAGGCACTGTATGGGTCCCGTGGGAATCGAATTGTACATCTAAATCCTACATGCCGTTTGCAAGTTGTATGATAGTATAACATGACACATCAATACTCGGTTGTTGTTTCACCGGCACTAGTGTTTTTGAAGTGAATACTAGATAAGATGAAGCGTATAATATACGCATGCACATTAGACGTGCAAACATAGATTCAGTCGAATAAAATAATCGATTAAATATCCAGAAAAAAAAATTTATCGATTAAATAAACAGAATTTAATCTGTGAAAACGCGCCTGGATCGTTTGCAGCACTTGCATTACGCGCCAATACGTAACATCAGGAGTCTTGAGTATTGATAGACTCCTGGTAACATGTGTAGCACCTTCTACTAATTGCATTCCTTCTGCGCATATATGTTTTCATATATATATTACAATTATATATTATATGTACATTCTACACACACGCGCACGCACGCACACACTTATTTATATATTATCACGTGTGAATTATCATTATGCTCACCATAAATATATAGTATAGAATAGGTAACTCAGGTATTAACAAACAATTACGTTATATATAAATCTCTATAGCTGCTACTGCATTTAGAGAAGAATGCATTTACAACCACATATGCCGATGATTCACAAGGGCTGCAAGGCAGCAGTCAAGGAAGCAAACTCTAACGCAATCTTTAGAATGCGCGTAACGTAGTACGCCACAATCTAGAACGGATATGCAATTACAGGCTGATGTTTGTATTGCACGTATATAAGATGGCAACACATACAGGCCTATGTTAGGTGTAACGCGATGAAGGGTAAAGGCTATCGTACAGTCTACACGCAGCATCCGGCAGAAACATCAATACTGCTGGCAGCAACCCGCACAATTACGAAGTCTACTCAAGCTGTGCCAACCGCCTACATTTGGAATCAACAATACAAAGATACATCCTCCCGCATAACCGCGATGCAACTCACTTGCAACGTAGCGTGCCCCCATAGATATCCTACATACACTAGTGTGTATATAGGAAGATATCTATACGGACTACCACACGCGTGTAACAAACTGATAAAGAAACGGTAAAATCGTGGAGTGCGGTCATCCGAGGGGAAATCTCAAAGGGAAAATCGCGCTCTCCGACGTCATTTCAGTTTAATTATAATCAATCATAAAATTACGTTATGTTGGGATCCTATGTTACAATAGTATTTATTAATAACAGTATTCTACAGTGGCAAGCTTATCGTTTTAACCCGAGGGACAGCTGCGACATATCGGCGAGAAATGAGCCGGAGTATATGCTAATTGTGACGTACAACCCTCGTCTCGCTGCTTGCAGGGAAACGCAATCCCGAATCATCTTTTCTTACATTCGTGAATAGGCAAGTAGTATTAAACACGCACACAACCTTGAATAATACATTTTTCTGCAAGATTTCGGTTAACGGAACGCTTTTAAATAAGAAGGCATCTTTTAAACCAAAATTGCAAGATAGACTTTGAATTATCACATTTATATATATATATATATCCGTGCCCGTTTGGGCACGGAATAAACACACTAGTATCATGATGATTCACTTATGATACACAAAATTTATCATGATATATGATACATTTATATGATACACCTGTTTAGAATGATATTTTACATTCATTTTTGCATGGCCGATCTCTATAAACTCTTAACACGTTAAATAAATCACGATGAACGGGAGCCAGAGCCATCATATACTTGTATATACCCTACGCTGTCTCGAAGCGCGAATAAACTCGATATAACGCGTTTGAGAATCACGTTACGAACACGAATTTCTGGTCAACCGGATGTGTTTGAGAAATTTGTTTCCGCTCTGTTTGCTCTCGCTGCTGCTTTCTATCGCGTTGTTCATGCGCTTCCTCTGCTCTCTGCTGTACTGCAGTATCGTCACGATGGCGTTCAGATGTTCCTGCGGCTCGACGTCCGTGATGAAATAGAAGAAGGCGTCCTTGAGAAACTCGATCGTGACCTCGGCGTCGGTCCACGTCCGCCGATACATCTCCTTGCGCATCTTGATCAGTTCTTTCTCCTTGCGCTGGAGCTGGTACAGTAGCTGCGACACGCCAAAGCTCCCCGGTGCTGCCGCCGCCGCCGCCGCCGCCGCCGCCGCCGCGCCGTCGACCGCCTCGCACTGCTGTTCGAACTTTGCCGCCTTCATACCCTTCTTGTACATCGCCAGGTACGTCTGCTGGTGGAATTCCTCGCGCGCTTCCAGTTCCGTCTCCATCTCGGCCATCTTGGATTTTATTTCGCTCATCTCGGCAGTGAGATTCTCGTGGTCTTCCTTAATGATAGCGTGCTCGTCGGTGGTGAACTCCAGCTGACTGCGCAGCTCCCTGGCGGATTTCTCGCCGCTGGCTAACTCGTCCGTCATCAACTCGGCGGAGATTTTCAGTTCGATGTTTTCCCTCAGGATCTTCATGTGATCCTCGTCGAGGTGAACCATCTCCATGAAACCCCGTGCAGTGTCAGCGGTGGCGGCCGAGCCGTCGTTCCGGTTGCGAATTCTAGCTTCATTCCCTAGCAGCTCGTAACTGGATTTTACGTCGTCAATGTCCATGAGGAATCTAGTCTTGAGTTGCCTCATCTCTTCTCCGTGCTTCACTCTCAGACTCTCCGCGTTGCTCTCCATCTCCAGAATCTTTTTCTCTAGCAGCGACATCTGTATCTTGACGTCTAGCTGCTCTGCCGTTTTGTTTATTTTTTCGAGAAAGGCATTGTCGACGTCAACAGTAGGCGCTACAGCGTTATCTTGCATAACCATTTTGCTTTTAGGTCCTATACCAGATGTGTAATCGGTGTTGCCTGTTTCGCCAATGGAGGCGGTTGACGTTGGCCCAGAATTCCCTCTTTTGAAGCTAGCATAATCATCATCGTCGTCATCATCGTCGTCGTCGCCTTCTTCTTCGTCACCATCATCGTCATTATCGCCATCATTGGAGTTGTTCTGAAGATAATCTGTCACAGTGTCACGCTTGCTCATCATAGAAATATCTTGTGTCACGTGCTGAAGTGGGGTGTTCTCTGTGCTGATCGTAATGCCATCGGTGAGAGGTTTGACCTTCGTGTCACCGTTAGCCATGTCACACGAGTGCATGCCCTTTACAGACGACATGCACACCTTGTTCGCATCGTGTTGCAGCTCTTCGGTGACTTTGGTGAGCATTCCTGCCTCGTAGAAACCGCTCTCGTCGAGGTCTTTAGAAATGCTTTGATGCTCGCCGAGTTCCACTCCTTCTCGAGTGAATACTTCATCATCCAATTCCTCTTCTAGCTGCTGTGCTGCAGTTACGCCTCTTCCATCAAGCCTTCCAAATCTGTCCACGGTGCTGTTTCTCTCACAGGAAGGGCCAGCCAACACGTGTGAGCTTTCTACTGGTGGAGGTAGAATATGTTTGCTTCCGTTGATTTCACTGTGATCTGAGGAGGCGCCAGCATTGATATTCTCGCCACTAATGTCCTCGTTGTTTTCTGGGATATCTACGCCCACATTGGAATCACCTGGGCAATAGATATCGTCTGCGTGGTTCGACTTCTCTAGCTGGCTTCCCAACTCGGAGATCTCACGCTCCATTTTTGCGCCTTCCGCAGTGAGTTTCATCAGTGCACTCTTCAGCTCTCGGATCTCTCTGGACTTTCTCTGCAGGGGCGTCAGGTAGACTGGCGTGACGTCGGTCTGCGAGGTACAGTGGCAGGCGAAGCTTTCGCGATGTTTGTACCACGGCGGCGTCCTGTCGTGCGTTGGCAGTGACGACACGTCACTGGTCGACCAATTCCTGTCGATTCGGCGCTCCTGCAGTGCCAAGCTGCTGCCTGTGACGCTGCTGTAGCGGCGTTCACGTTCCCCTTCTGTGATTAATCTTCTCACAAGCTGGCTGCTGACTGATTGGTTCTTCTGCAAATGGCATGTTCCAGCTCCATTAACCAGCGCACTGATGCTCTCTCTAGAGGAGGCGTTAAGCGCTGGTGCACCCGTGAGAGTAGCAATGGAACGTTCCAAAAGGTGGCAGATGCTGCGCCAGTCATTCGTTCCGGTGGTGTTATGCCACTGCGGTAACTGGCTCGTTGTCATCAGCTTGGTCATTCTGGTTACCTACCTGGAATGAATACATTACGCAGGTATATGCATAAAGACAGAGCGACGTTCAAGTAGATATGAAGTCATAATAGCATATCGTGACTCACGCGCGCAAGCATGTACGCGCACGCACACGCACGCACACGCATTATACGCACGCACACGCACATATACGCTCGAATACGCACGCACACACACACACGCGCGCACGCATAAGCACGCGCACGCACACCCACACGCACACGCACGCGCGCACGCACACCGACACGCACGCACACACGCACGCACACGCGCACGCACACACCAACGTACTTACACATAAATATTGTATTGTGCTCGAGTTAGATACAACTATTCGTTGTGTCGATATTAGAGCTTACCCCCTATACAGCACGGAATCACAGCCGTCAGAATTCACGTCTTTTCACCTCTCACTGTGCATTTATGCGATTAATGCAGTGACACCGTACGAATAATTAATTACCCGAGAGATCCTGTCAGGGAATTCTCCGACTCACATGCGCGGACAGCGTTGACGCAACGAATGACACGACGATGAGTGGTGCATACACGCACGGAGCGCGAGAAATACGCAGCAGATGCTGAACGTAAAGCTAGCTGCTGCGGTTTGCGTCTGCCGTCGCCATGTCTCTTCCGCTGTGACGCAAATTGCTGCGCGGAGGCAGCAAGCAGGAGGAACTTTGCTCGCAGCCACGCAAATCGATATATGAGCTCTTGTTATATATCCTACTGTCGCGAGCAGCCCGAGTTGTGTCACAGGCACTTGAAACGTTTCAATAAAATATAAATGCTAAATAAATACGAAATCTAATACTAGTACTACAAAATTCTTAATGTTTCTATACTCTCTTTCACCTATTATTGCCGACAGTTTCCTGT